CGGAGAAATTTAAAAACAGTACTTTCTTAAATAACATGCCTTGTATTATTCTGTCACCATAGGTAACACTCTGAAACTTGAACAGTGCTGTAAGTTGATTAAAGTGTCTTTTTTTCCAAATATAAAAACTTAACCGCCACAGCACATCATAAGTTAATGTTAAACAAGAACTGAAAATGCTTCTTAGTCACATTGATAGCTTAGCCAAACTTACTTACCTTTATTGCTTTTGATTCTTTTCCAAGAAAATTTCTCTCCTTATTTGGCCCCAAATAAGCAGACAACTTCATCAATATTGTTTACATGTGAAGTACTCTCGAATACATTAACACCAAACATTTGCAATGCTCCAAGCTTTACAAGAAAATTTACCTGGAACAAAAATAGGCAGTGTACATCATTCAAGCCTACTTCTTGTTAAAAGTAAAAACAGAATAGGCCTATAGAAACAATGACTCAAGGTAGGGCATATTTGCTTAGTACTATAAAATAAAGCTATCAAGTTTGATTTATAATAAATATAGCCTATATATTTATATAGAGTAAAATATAAATTAAGCTTTTTGTTGGTCACAAAACATAAACAAATAAAAAGTAGAAGAAGGTAGCTTCTAATGTTATTCTTATGGGACAAATTTAAAAATGTATTTTTAGGGTTTTATAATTACTACTGAACGGAATCGTCTAAATTTTATGGTGTCTTTCCATTAGTGTCATAATTAAGATTTGTGCAATTTTTTAACACTATAGGTGCAACGGTTAGCTTGAGTTTTTTATACTAACACTTACACACACACACACACAGTCAAGCGGACAACTAATCCACGACTCCGCTATACACAACACGATACATAGATGACATATTATTTCTTTTTAATTTCTTTAGAAAGGTCTAGAGAATAATTGATAAATTTTGTGTTTTAAGGTATTAACAGTATTAATGGTAGAATAAGTTAAAGGGTACAGTTTCTTAACTGGGCTACGATAATTTTATTGAAACTAACGATTCGATTAGTAAACATACATGCGATTTTTTCACCATCAGCAAGTTTGGTTGGTTAGGTTAGGTTATAATAGTTTAATTTTATAATAAACTTAGATATACGGTATTTTAAAATATCAATTATTAATCAATATTTTTAATTTGATAGTTCAATAAAAAATATTAACTTAAGTTAGCGTAGCCCAGTTAACACATTCGCGGCGGCATGGGAGCGATCGCTCCCATACGGAACCCTAATGCCATCCTGGTGGGTGTGATCGCTCCCAAGCTGCAATGCAGTACGAAATGATTTATGTTTAAGCCAGGATTAGAGCTAGAAACTTGAAACCTCACACAGCACTGCTTAATAGTATACTGTATTTTTTGTGGTGTAGGTTGGTAGTAAATTTTCCCGTAAAATCCCCGTCTGACAATCTCAAAAATGTATTTTTTGTCCCGTCTTTTTCCCTCCATTTGCAATACAATTCCAATTGGACCAGCTACGTTCCAAGCAGTGCTGCTATCTGTGGGTGTTTAGCATACTACGTCGACTCTTGTTGTAAAACAGGACATCCTCGCACGTTATTTGCTATACGTCAGACCGAAATTGGAAAGCCAATCACACGCGGCAATCGGGTTTGTTCGACGCTGAGGGCCGCGCCGCATTGGGGATACGCCCGCCATTTGACGTGCCGCCGCGAACGTGTTAAGAAACTGTAGGCCTACCCAAGTTAAATCTTTTGGCTCAGTATTATCACGCTTACCATTTCTAAGGTTACACTTCCATAAGTTATCTGTTGGCACAAACAACCGAATGAAAATATCGATCGATATACGGTATCGATTATTCGATATATCGTTTGGTATCATTATTACTCATTCGGTTGTTTGTGCCAACAGATATGGAAGTGTACCCATTTCGAACATAGCCTATGCTTACTATCAGTAAATCCAAGCATCCATAGGCCTAGGCTACCCATTTTTTATATAGGCTACATACTAAGTTAGGCCTCGAAGCTACAGGTATTGACCTTTTCAATTGCTTGCCTTTTTCAGCTCAGCATGTTAGCTTAGGTAGTTTTAAGAATGTGATATATGCATGGTTGATAGTAAGGCCCTTCTACAGCCTTAAAGAATATTTTGAAGCAGACTTCAGCTCCATCAATTTTGCATGATGTTTTTAGTTTTTTTCCAAAATAGCCACTCTCATTTAATTTTGTAGAATGAACACTTATTTTTATGTATGCTTTATTCAGCATGTTTTACTATTGTACTTATGACTGTCTTGTGCATTTCAAGCATCCATGACAAGATCGATTGCATGTAATTTTGCCTAAAGATCAATAAATGTCTTATGTCTTAGCCCTCTATCTGGCGCTGGTCGATTTTTGACCACTAAAACTTGAGTTCTCAGTGGCGCTGGTCGATTATAGACCAAGATGACACGGGTCGGGTTTTTCTATTATTAAAATATGAAAACAGTTTTAAAACGCAATAAATCTTATACCATTAGAAAGATGAGATTCTGAGGATTCATTTTCATGCATAAAACATTATTGAGTGAGTATTATGTAGCGAGAAACGGTAGTTTGAAAAACTAGAGAGTTCAAAATAGATTTTGGCGGTGGAAAGTTTTGGTCACCTGACTGCAAAAACAGCTGTTTTTGGTGATTGTCAATTAAATTGTATACAATATTAGTACATATTCTGAAACTACAATAAATTCCCTACAATTCCCTGTGAATCTATAAGGTTGATTGTACAAATTTTATTTGTTTTTAAAAATGTCATAAATATTATGTTTTTGTAAAAAAATCTTCAAAACTTTACATTCCGACGTAAATTTCTCCGACATTTTAGAATTCAACTAAATATAACTATATATTTTCAGAAAGATCTTTTTATTACCTATTGTACAGTATCATTTCATTTTTTTTTATGCATTCTATTATTTCCTACGTGACAAAAAGAAATTTGGTAGTTTTTCAAAAAAGAAAATATGTATGAAGAATTTATTTTTCTATAATTTTATTTTTATGAGTATTTAAAAAACATTGATAGGTATTTCTACGTAGGGAATCATATTTCACACAAACTTTACATTTAGATAAAATGTGTAAAAAATTATTTTGTGGTTTTCTTGTGGGTTGCTTTTGGAATTTCTAATTTGCATAATCCAAAAATTTGCAAACCTTTTGCTACTACGCCTAAACGCATTGCTAGGAAAAGAATATTTTTATATTCTAAATTCATCACTGAAATAGGTAATATATATATATGTGTGTACTTATATTCACAAATAAATGTTCTGTGGCAAAATATATGATACCACTACAAAAGCGCCAAAACATACCCGCCACTGGTGAATAAAATGACCGCCAGATCTAGGGTTAACAGTAACTTACCTAAGTTAGTTAGCCTATATTTCTAAGCACGCTGCTTCAAAAACAGACAATTCCTATCTTAAGTTAATACACCTACACCTTGTTTATGAATGTAGGCCCAAGTCATTAGTTGAATAGGCTGCACTTTAGTTTACGTCCTACACTCATTGTAATCAAAAATATCAGTTAGATTATTCGATATTTCAATTAGGCTATTTCATTAATAACCAAACTTGATAGCCTACTTATATCGTATATAGGCCTACTCGAATACTTGATAATCATTCGATATATTCATTCGAATGAGTGTAGGACGTAAACTTAAGTGCAGCCGTTGAATACATTTACTGATATTTTTATTAAGTTAATTGTTTATGCCTGTCACAGGAAATCTGTAACTTAAGTCACAGCTAACTTAAGCTAGGCAACTGTACCAACTACTAACTTAACCTAATTAATAACACTCAAGCAAATAATAGCATACTGCATTTTGTTACTTTGAATAACAAGGCCTAGGAACAGGATTGGATTAAAACTTACTGGATTTCAACACCACAATATAGTTTTGGAATTTTTTGATGTTTACAATTTATTAATAATAATTGTTCCTCTCCTTTATCGGTAGGTGTATGGCTCTGGGGAGTGGGATTTTTTAAGCGAGATTTATCCCTATTCGGGGAAATTTTTTCAAACTTTTGATCCCTTTCAGGGATTTTCTCCAGTTTGTACCTACAGCTGTATAAACAGTATAGGTTTACTCCCCAGAGCCATACACCTACCAACTTCTTAATTTTCAAGATTATCTCGTTCGCATGGCTCAATCAGGTCCTGGTTGAAGTTTGTTCGCTACGCTCACTCACCTTTAGGTTGGAGCTCGTTCGCTACGCTCACTCACCTTTAGGTTGGAGCTGTATATATGGTAGACCTGACTGAAGCGAGCAGCTGATGCCATTCCCACAATGCAACATTCTCCTCAATTATAAGCTATGCCCCAAAATCAGAATTATAAGGTATGACTCAAAATCAGGATTATAAGCTATAGAACAGATTCGGAATTATAAGCTGTGCCACTATTTGACCATTATAAGTTGTGACACTAAAAATGTTTCATACCTTATAACGTTTTAGAGAAATTGTGGCATAGCTTATAATTTTTCGTGAAAGTGTGGCATAGCTTATAACTGATTATAAGCTATGCCACATTTTCAACATTATAAGCTATGGAACAAATTCACGATTATAAGCTATGACATTATAAGCTATGACACCCCACGCCACTTGTGGAGATGCCAATTCTACCAGGCCGCGGCCTGTAGTTAAAGGTGGCCGTGGCCCGTGAGTGCATGGTGGAAGGAAAATACTGGTGTAGTGTTTGTGTTGAGGTTGAGAAATATTCACATAATATCAGTTACCTACTATGATTACAACGTGCAAAACTAAAAATAATATGGTTTTATGGCGATTTTGAGATTTATAATAAAAAAATATATAAGTCTATTAGGTATTTCAATACTCAAGCCAGTTACGATTGTTATTTAAAATTGTACGATAATTTTTCGTGAAATACGATAATTTAGGACCGCGTGTACGATATTTGACTACGGCCAATCTGGGTACACTGCTTTGAGGTTTCCTGGTTTCGGTCTGGTTTACGTTACGTGCGGGCGGCGGAATAGCTTATCTAGGCCTAGTCGTTCTTATTCTATAATTAATTGTTAAAAATAGAAGATTGAAGATTTGTAGTAACGATATTTCCAGAAATTCCTGCATTGAGTTTAATTACTGTGAGTTCTTTGCGAAGGTTAATGAAACAGGACACATCTAGATCAAATATGGGTGGACCTCATGGAATAGAAGAATCGGGAATTGAACCTTCCTCGGACAATGAAGATGAATATGACAACCAGGATGATCCAATGGGCGACGATTACAGAGACGACGAGGATGAAGATTATTTTGACGACTATCGTCCTCCTCCAAATAAAAGAGGCAGAGGTGGTGGAATGTATAGGTTAGTCATTTTTCATCAAGTGCTGTCAGAATAGGCTTATTGATAATTTTCTAGCCTAGGACCTAGTGGGTAGGCCTAGGCTGAGTATAGTTTCTTAACTGGGCTATACTAGCCAAATATCCATTAAAACTACTCATCGATTGGAAATAGGCTATAGGCCTAAGTTAGATTAAACATCGATATTTTGAACTAGGCCCAGGCCTAGGTCTATAATCAATTAAGGTAACTTAGGGCCTTTCCTAATTTAATACCGTACAGTTTCTTAACTGGGCTGGATTTTTTACGCAAAGGATAGGCCTACGCGTCTGGTAACCAAACGTTTACCACCAGGATGTGGGTGCCCAGAACACCATTAACACAACGATACGGTGGAATGCCGTCGGTGTTCGTGGTGTAGTGGATAGAGTAGGCCTTTTTAAATATATCTATTATAAAATTAAACTATCATAACCTAACCTAACCTAACCAACCAAAGTTGCTGATGGTGAAAAATTCACATGAAGGTTTAGGCCTACTAATCGAATTGGGCTGCACTTTACTTGACGTCCTACACTCATTCGATTGTTTTTTCGATTCGATATTTTCATTCGATTGTTTCATTCGATATATCGTTTAGTTAGTTAAGGGGACTGTGACTGCCTATCTTATATAATGTTATCTATATGCTACATATCTAGAGAACTATGACAGGTAGAGCCTTATTTTATTTTTATTTTAAAGGCCATATGTTTATCTAGTTCCTCCTAGAAGATTTAAAAAATATATTTACACCAAGTGTTTTTTTTTAAATTTTCAAAAAATTACAATTTTTTTCCTAGAAATTTAGTACAAAAATTTTTTTTTACGACTCGTGGGTGTGATAAATCAAAATCCTTCTGGGAGGAACTAGTATATTAAGTATTAAATATGTGGTAAAAATTTGGATACTCTAGTCCTACAGATAGCTGAGAAAAGTGACATCAAAGTTATAAAAAGCTAACTTACGGGAATCGCAGAAAACGTAGGCCCATGTGCAAGATAACTAAACAATGTTTTGTTGCTATGAGACCGGGTAAAAACATTTTCTTTTATTTTTTTTACTAACTTCCAGTCAAGCTAGGAAAAAAATAATTATACCGTTGTAATCAGAATATTTTAATTAATAATAAAAGACCAAAAAATAAAAATGTCAATTGTTGATAATTTTTATGGTCACAGTCCCCTTAAGTTAGGTTAACCTTACCTAACTAACCAAACGATATATCGAATGAAGCAATCGATTAATCGATATATCGATCGATATTTTCATTCGAATGAGTGTAGGACGTCAAGTAAAGTGCAGCCTCGAATTGATAGTTTCAATCGATATTAGCATAGCCCAGTTAAGAAACTGTACCCGGCCTACTCGGCTGATTTTTCAAGAGGTGCGACTTTTATCTCAAGAACTTTTTGATATTTAATAGAAGACGTATTCTATAAACCATGTTTGGTAGGCCTATATCTAGGCCTAGTTTTCTTATTTACATTGGCTAATGATCTTCCAAAAGCTATTAATAAAGAACTAATTCTAAAAAAAAAACTTGGATAATTTAATAGGAAAACTTGGATTGGATCCCATCGGTGTCACTAACTTTTTGACAAAGAGTTTGCTCAGAATGCCATTTCTTCTTAACAGTAGCCTACATATCTTTTGTTAGAATTGGAGGCAATTATAATTTTATTTTACACAGAGGATAAAATGTCCGGCAGTGATGTCACGGGGTTTGTGGAGGCCTGAAAGGATTTTTGAGATAATGCGTCTTTATGTGAATCGGGAATGTGAACTATCATCACACAAAATTTCAATCCGACCAGTATTTTTTGCGTTACTTGTCACAAACATCCATACATCCATCCAAACTTTCTCATTTAGGCTAAGTATAATATTAGTAGGATTTACTTCAAGTTGGCTTTTAAAATGATTTTCAAACTGTTCCTTTTTTTTAAAAGGGAAAGAAGTGTTGTACCTTGGACCTATACTCATTTTAGCACTACTTATCTGTTTAAGTAAAGTGAGAACTTGTACCATTAGTTAATGCTTTTGCGGTAATTATTCCGTACAGGTGCCTCCAAACGAATTTTTAATTTTGATATCTTACTTTATAGTTTTTTACCTCCTGAATCCAAATATACCATTAATTTTCACCGCTGATTAATATTTCTCAAGATATCGCCGTAAAAACATACTTAACATTACAATAAACAAGGTAGGATGGATGACATTTACAAGTGGAATGTACTATGGGTTAAGTAAACCAACCAGCTGATTGTTTTCAATCATTTTCAAGCAAATGGAAGTGACAACTTTTATTAGCTAACTCTGATTCTGCAATATGAAAATCACCTGATTAACTTCACTTTCACCACCACTTTCACTTTCTAAGACCAATAAGTTAAAAATGTATTATTGTTACCAGTATTTTATCCTTATTTATTTATTGATTTATATTTTGCCGTTTAGAAATAACATACTAAAATGGTGCTATTCTAACATAACCTAACCTAACCAAACCTCTAGAATGTGTAAGCAAACTCCTTTTGATGTCAGAAAAGGCATGTCAGGTGATAGGTTGTGCTATATGTGAATTGGTGACTGCATTAAGTGTTTTGAAGTTAGGTTAGATTAGGAAGGTAAAGTTTAGGTTATAATGTATCGAGTTGTTAGTTTATGTCGCCTGCAGACTGTTTTTGTAAAATTAACCCTTAGAGTGCCAGGCGAGAAATAAAAGTAACGCTAAAAAAATGCCGATGATTTTTCCCGAAGGTCGCGCTAAAAATGCCGAGCGCAATCTGGCGATTTTTAGGTTAAAATGTCGTAAAAATCGAATTTTCGATATTTCGACCAACGAAAATCGATGTATCGCATCTAGTAACTTTCGACTCAATGTTAATATATGGGTTAAAAGAATCCGAGTATCCATTCGGTTGTTATGACAACTGTTCGATCATTACGAAACGTCCGGTCAGCCGGACGTTGGCACTTTTGGCTCGTTCTAAAAACGTCCGGTCGGCCGGACGTCGGCACTTTTGGCTCGTTTTAAAAACGTCCGGTTCCCCGGATGTTGGCACTCAAAGGGTTAAAATCCTGAGAAAAACACTTCAAATTACTATTTCAAAAATGCAAGCATTTTTGAAATAGTAATTTGAAGTGTTTTTCTCAGGATTTTAATTTTACAAAAACAGTCTGCAGGCGACATAAACTAACAACTCGATACATTATAACCTAAGCTTTACCTTCCTAATCTAACCTAACTTCAAAACACTTAATGCAGTCACCAATTCACATAAAGCACGACCTACCACCCTGACATGCCTAAATAAGAACTACGAGTAATTAGTCCATTATTCCATCTATATCTCCGATTCACTTGATATGTTTCTAAGTACAAAGTTAAAGCACGGCCGCCTGCGGCCGTGGTTAAAGGCGGCCGTGTCTACAACGATGTTATTATCTTTAGTCAACGATGTTATTCTTCTCATCAACCATGTTACTCTCTTCACTTAACTAATCTGAACTTGTGATGGCGACGGCGTAGCAGACCTAAACACTTAGCTAGCACTACGCAACACGTATGAGTAGGTACGAATGAGTATTTTGTTTTGTATTTTATTTGTAGTGAAGTAAAATGTTGTCAATAGGCATATTGCCGGTGACAGAATCAGAGTGAGTTAATGAAGTTCAAAAGTTGTTACTTCCAGTTGTTCTTGTCGTGTGGTTGAAAACAATCAGCTGTAAGTAGGCTTAAGGCTTAACCTACAGTTCATTCCACTTGTAAATGTCATCCATCCTATCTTGTTTATTGTAATGTTAGGTATGTTTTTACGGCGATATCTTGAGAAATATTCATCAGCGGTGAAAGTTAATGGTATATTTGGATTCAGGAGGTAAAAAACTATAAAGTAAGATATCAAAATTAAAAATTCGTTTGGAGGCACCTGTACGGAATAAATACCGCTTTTGCTACCAGAGGTCTGATGTATTCAAGTTGGAATTGTAGCCTATGTGTCCTGTTGACAGGAAAACTAACTAGTTTTTATAAGGTAAAAGTAAGTAGGCCTACCTATATGCAACTTTAATTTTCTTTTATTAAGTTATGTTAGATTTAATGATTGTTTATCTCAGCTTGATTTGTTTGAGCAGTCCACTTCCTAAGTCCAACTCAACCCACGAACACAACACAATGCTATAAACCAACAACTCAGCTACAGTTTCATATGGTCAGGTGTTGTACCTTAGACCTAGTTCATAGGTTGTACTATGGACCATAGTAGCTTAGGCTACTAAAAGCAGACTTTAATATAATTCTGTCAAAAATGTTTATTATGGGCATTTGTAATTTAATCTGCTATAGCCTAAACGAACAGGACAGAGCCCCCAAGACAGATAGACGAATATTTGACGTAGGCCTTAACTAGGCTATAAGTGAACTTGAGCGAATTTCTTACAAAATATGGTTAACCTATTGTAAGGGTAGGTTTTTTTATATTTTATCAAATAAAAACTAGGTAATTATTAATTTTATAACATTTAAATGTGTTTCTACATTTATTTCCTCTACTTTAAAATCAGTGGTCCAAGGTACAACCAGTCAGAGGTACAACATACCGGTGGAGGTATTGTACCTTGCACCTAATGTTAATATTTTTTTAATAATTGAAAATATTTGTTTTGGGTGAAAATAAAGGGGTAAATAAAATATATGTATTGTGTTAAAGAACAATGATTACTTTTTACTAACATAATATTGTGTTTTAAAGTGTCATATCAAAATAAAAAAAAAAACAAAAAGGTAAGTTAGGCTAAAATAGGTCCATGGTACAACACCTTCCCCAACTTATACCTACGTTTGTCATATTTTTTATTTCTTTGACCGTTGATATGAATAAATAAATATAATGTACTGCTGTCTCAAAAATAACCAAAATCATACCGCACGGAGAGCACCACGTCTTGTTTGGTTTGCTGATAGGCCTAGTGAACC